ATGAACAACATGCCTGACAAGGAAAACATGCCTGACATGAACAACATGCCTGACATGAACAACATGCCTGACAAGGAAAACATGCCTGACATGAATGGCATGAACGGCATGCCAGGTAACGGTGGCAACAGGAACGACATGCCTTTGTTCAATGACGAAGATATGATGATGTTGGATTTCGACGACTTAAATCCCGAGGACATGGAGAAGATGATGGAGGCTGACTTGGGCACAGAGGAACTCCAAGCGATGGGTTTCCAAATGCCTGAAGTTAAGGCTTTCTTCGATGACTAACACGACTACCTAGATAGTCGCTCGTCCAACAATTGAATACTTTTCGATTTTCAACAGAAGAGAACCGATTAGTTACAAGTATGAAAATTATTCCTTGGAACTAGAAGAGAACCTATATATCCAGGAAACAATTTGAATTTTCCTCGGTTATATGCTATGTATTGATGTTTCCTTGACCTTGTTGTTCACCACCTTCTAATATACGCGGCGTCCCCGACGGAGCCGAATTCGAGTTATCCCCAGAGGGTATGATGCTCATGATGATGCCGGACGGCACGGAAATAGAACTGGAGCCGCCAGCGGGCCCCTCAGAGATGGCACTGCCCGTGGCCTCCTTTCCCACTGACACGGTCGCTCAAATTTAAGGGTTTTGAAATTTCACCTACCATCTTGTTCTAATCTTCGCAGAGCATATCTTCTACGATCTTTATTAATACTTATTTCAAATGCCGGAAAAACAAAAAGGTCAAAGGATCATAGTAGATAATATTCGTATTCTACAAACAGTGACTGACATGATCATCAAATTGAGGACAAGAATATCAATAAACGGTGGTGGGAACAACCCCTTCTTTAAACAGTGGTGGGAACCTCTTCTTCTAAGAGTTGTTTCGCTATCTGAACCCGACCGCCATGTCGCAGTTCCCCATGGGGCAGAATGAGGATCCTTATACAAAATTCACCGTCTTTACGGACGCCGAGTCTCGTCCCCGCAATGACACCTCGACTGGATTCAAACACAAGTGCGTTTATGGGCAGGAGTTCTATGTCAAGCTGGGGCCGGGCACGAAGACGATCAGCGGAGGGAGTTCGGAGGCACACAACGGAACCGAGTTCGTCAATTACGAATCACTATTTAATGAATCATAATTCATCTAATTCTAAATAGGATTAGGAGGCCAAGAACAGGAGTTGTACTTTTCTCACCTCATCCGTGGTCTTGTTCTTCGCTTGTTCATTTCTTTGCTTCTCTCTTCTGAAATACAAATATGGAGGTTGTAGCTGCATCGCATATGGAGGTTGTTCATTTTCATTTAGTGAAGATTTGTTTGTGAAGATTCTGTTGATACTATCAATACGACACGCGGCGCCTAGAATAGATGGATCCTACTTAGCATGGCCATTGCTACAATATCTGTACTTCTCTATCCTTTACCTACTCTCCTTTTTCTTTTCCTAGTTAGCTTGGCTCCACCCATATAATATCACATAGACATTCTCAACAACATGATCATTCTTTTTCTTGACGTGACGACCTCTTCTTGTTCTAAGTAACATTGAACAAAGTGGACGGCGTCAGCTGGAGCTGCATTGCGGGGTACACAGATCAAGTTCCGGAGGAGGCTATGGCACTTGATCTCATTCTCGCTCTCGAAGCTACCAGTGGCGGAGTCCCTACAACCGCGCCAGGTGACACGGTTCTTGTCGACGTCACCAACAAGGCACTTCTCATTTTTTCTAGTTGTACTTAGATTTAAGTGAAGACACGGTTCTTGTCGACGTCACC